AGCTCCCAGCTGTGTGTCCATGAAGACTGACCGTTCAACAGATCAACCACCAGAGTGTGGAAGAGGAGCTCCATTAGGACACTCTGTCCATTTACACCATAATGTGAACCTTGTTTTATTGGGCTGAATTCCCTGTCAGTTGTATTGGCAACAGATTGATGACAACCTGATGATGGTGGTGGTGGTGGCAGCTGTAATTATTATTGTCAGTCGGGGTGTGTCACATTGTTATTGTACTTATTGGATTACAAAGTTCAGCCCCTTGTCAGTGGCTAGTTAGGGAGTCCATTAGGCATGTGGGCTCAGAGCCAACAGGCTGAAGTATAGAAATTATTCAATCCTGGAGTGTCTTTTGGTACCATAATGGCCTGTTAAGACTCCTGCACACTCAGCACACAGTGCTCTGGCCAAATCAAGACCGTGCAGGGGGAAGAAATGAACAACCTGGGATATCTCAGTGTCTGTACTGGTAAATGAAGGCTACAGCAGAATGAGACCTCAAATCATAATGGGCTCCATGCCACTGGATTAAGGTCTCATTCAGTCAAGATGTGTGCAGGCTGGTCTGCAGTGGTTTCTCCACAGTAAAACATCACACACAGGCATCTCCCATCCCCAGCATGTATTCGAGGGCATGTGGAGACCAGATAATTGCCACAGGAGCAGGACAGTGATATCTGGGAGCTCCTGGTCATGAATTGCCATGAAGGCAGCTGGTACAAGAGGGCTGTCAGACACTGTGTATTGTGCAGGTTCACTTCAGCAGCTCTATCTGAGAATGAGCAGCACTGTTCAGGATCAGCTGTTGTTTCATCGCTTCAGACTGGACAGCTGTGTCCAGAGAGTCTGAACCCAGGAGAAGCTGGAAAGCTCTAAATAATAAAAAATAGCTGAACTTGTTAGTTTTCCAGATTAAATGATCTGGTGCTGTTGTTTTAAAGAAATTGATATAACATTCAATTTTAAATTAAAATAAAATAAAAAAAATAAAATTTAAAGTTTTTAAAAATTCACAGAAGTAAACATAATTTCAGAGGCAAAACCATATATATCTCTGAGAGGACAGTTCACATCTTAGAATAATGATTTAGGAAAAACATACATTCCTATTAAACATGTAACAGCAACAGAATGACTTTTTTTAACTTGAGGGTGTGTATCATCTTGTCCTGAGTTCTGTATGTCTTTCCTGTCTTGAACTCTGTATTTCCTCTCTTTCTTTTCCTGGCATGAATTCTTGTGCCTGTATTTTGTTTGTGTAAGGAGTAGTATAGAGGGATTCTGCATGACTTTTGTGACTCTCTGTCTCTGAGTTAAAGGCACAATGTGAAGAATCCTCATTATTTTGTTTGTCCACAGATCTGCTGGGCATGGAAATGTGTTCTGTGATTTCTGCACTGACAAGAAGATACGAGCTGTGAAATACTGCCATGTCTGCTCAGCATCTTATTGTGAGACACATGTTCGACAGCACTACACAGTCCCAGCCCTGCAGGAGAAGAACAGACCAGGTCAGTGTGTACTTATGAGTGTGCTTTGGCAACTGGAATCAATTAAACATAATAATTTAAAGTCTTACACATGGATTCTAAATATACAGTAAACACTTTGTTCATACAACACTAAAACATACATAACAAACTAACAAGAGTAAAGGAATATATTTGTGAATCAATCTGTTGTAATATGAATTGTTGATCCTTCACTCAGGGATTAAAGATGAGCAAATAACTATTATTATTGTCTATAGCTAAGGTTATTTGAATCTCATATATCAGTATCATATATATATTGTAACGGATTTGGGTTCTCTGGGCATGTGCCCTCGCTGCTCCCACCTCAGGTTGGCCCTCCACCACTGTGGCTCGAACCCAGTTCTCCAGCATCACGCAACAGGGAAGTTGCTGGCTGAGCCTGGGCAGCCAAGCTCCCTGTTGTGCACAGGGGAGTATTTGTTAAAATATCATATATCAGTGGTTAAATCACATTCATATTCCCAAAGACAAGAAAATATGCATGTACTATCCTGAACTGTGTCCAAAATAATAGTTAAACTTGAGAATTGTAATGTTAATATACTGTAGACGTTTTGTACTCAAAGATCAAGGAACTTGTGGCCATGGATGAATTTGAACTTCCTGCCGATGTCAGAGCTGAGCAAAGTATTTGCTGTAGTTTCTCCAGTTGCTTTGTCTGTGCTGGGAGTGTCCTGGTGGAGAGAAAGGAGGAGAGAGAGCTTTGCCTCACATTGCTGAGAACAGCTATGCAGGGAATTTAGTATCTTACTGAACTTCAGTCTCTAAAACAGCCTGTGCACAGTCATCTGCTTGGATCACGCAAAGTGAGATCATAGAAGACAAGGTTAGTCTGAAGTGTAGCTTTTTACTGAATATGCTTCGATATTCATAATGATGACAAAAGAAGAACCTAAAAGGCAAAACATAACAATTGGTTTATGAAAAACAAGATTTCTTCTGTTTTTTACTGTTGCACTCTCTTTGAACAAATCCTGACTCAGACTGTTGCAGTCACATTGTTGGAAAAGTCAGATTGCCAGGCTAGCTGGATAGAGAAGCCAGTGAGCAAACCAGTGAAATTAGTTGTGTGCAACCTTATAACCTTATAAATTGTGTGCACCAATCACAGTTGGTGATTGACTGGGATGTCAGTAGATATATATATCTTGATTCCCTCTAGGTCCCCCCTCCAGTTTGGAATGTTAGTGAAGTCTGACCCATTGTCTTGGGTCATATTGTCTTGGTGAAAGCAAAAGGTAGATTTTTAGAAATCTTTAATAAAAGCTTTAAAATCTCTAATAACTATTAATTCTATAATAGCCCTGTTACGATCGCACCAATATGGTATCTCTCAGCTAGCATTCGCCCTGGGAAACTTACTTTCTCATGAGGGTTCATGATTTTCCAGGACCAGCTGCACTAGCCTTACTTTCCTTCACTGATCTGTATTAAGTATTAATTAACAATTCATTACTCAGTTATTCTTTCCCTATTTAATGCTGAGGCACTGCTTTTACAGTGGTTTGTCATTGTTCATTTCACCCCCTTAACTCCCTTTCTGTGCACTAGTGCTTTTTGTTCTCAGCTTCATTTGTATTCATTTCACCTGTCCTGTCTGCACTCCTGTTCTCTAGCTCCCTGGGCAGATGCCTCAGCAGCTTCTGGATTTCAAAGCATGTTTGCACCCCTGTCTTTGATCCTCGACACCAGGATTTCACTCTGAAGTTGAATCATTGTTTTCCCTTGGAGGTCAGCACCACGAATCCATCCCAAGACCGAGATATCCAAGTGTCCTCCTTTTTTGGGAGCTCAACAATGGATTCCTCTCTGATGCAGAGGCTGCCCAATTATTGTCTACAGGCTGATTTGCCAGGGCTGAGATCACTGGGCTGGACTCTGACCACCCTCACCTTTCATCGCTGAATCAGTCTGTTCTGACTCCAGTTCCAGTTTGATTCAGCTCCTCTTAAAGATTTTCTCTGCCCTGCAGCACTCAGTTCCTGACTGCATGGCATTTCCTGGCCCCCACCCTGGAGCCTTGGACTCTTCTCGGCTGGCCTCCTTCCCTTGCGGTTCTGAACCGCTTCCAGGAGGCATCTTCTGTTGTCCAGGACATCAGGGCCTCTCCCCGTGCAGCCTCATCCTGTTTTATTCCCTAAGAGCCCTGCTCTGGCACTTTAGGTTTTTCTTTTCTCTGTCCTCTTTCCTGCCGCCTTTCTGGCTCTTTTTCTTCTTCACCCTTTTCTCTCAGGCTGTCGGGGTACTTTTCTCTTTCCAGTCTCCTTCCTGCCAGGCATCCTGTGTCCGCTCTGTCTGGAGAGCATTTCCCTGTTAGCCTGGCCTCCCTGTAGATTCCTGTTCCCGAGCTCTGACTGAGACTGCATCTTGCAGCTGTGTTGTCCCAGGGCTCATCACAACTGCCAAATTGTAAAGATATGCTAAGAATATACCTGAGTGTTAACATAGTTAGAGACACCTGACCAATCAGAAAAACCCCAGACTAAGTATTGAACTGCTATATAACACCTACACAGAGCAACAAGAGAGATAGACCTTCCTTCTGCACCAAAGAGAATGACCTCCAATCTCTAATAATAACTATAACGATATTTTTTTTTATTATAGCATATTTCATTCCAATTAATCTGTACTTTACAAAAAGAAAAGCTTAAAAAAGAAGTCAGGAAACTTAATATCTAAGAAGGAAAAAGATAGGAAATTAGTAATAGTAAAGTTGATAGGCTTGTTGGTAAAGAAGGGTTTTAAGATCTATTTTAAAGCTTTCAATGGAAATTGCTTGTCTGAGATGATGCTTTGCTAGAACAAGGATGATATGATCTGATTTCCTTGCTCTGGTCAGTACCAGTGAGTTAGTGAGAACTTATGTGAAACTGTAGCTGAGTAGCTGCTGCCTTCTTGAGGGAATGGGAATCTGTGAATGGAACCTGTCTCCCTTTTCTAATAATATATCTTCTGACCAGGCGAGACTGCTTTTAACCAAGGGATTCTCTATACAGGAAATCAGAGTTTCCTAAAAACAACAGAATGGCAAACTCTCTGAATAAGGTTTAAATAACTCGAATCTGATCTTTATGGGTGACAGTGATCTGGACAAGCATGTCACACCACTGGTGTCAGTACCACTACAACTCGGAAAGCACCTCAGTTTCTTCAAAGCATCTGAGATCTGCATGAATGTTTTCATTAGATAGATGTTAACCACTGTCTCTAAATTCTTAGACACCTCAAACCAGCTCCTTCAAACAGCTGTATCAATATACTACATTTCATACTACATTTATACATTTCATTACTCTACATTGTAGGGTTCAGTAATAAAACAGAAAATAAACAGTAATTAATAAAATCAAATCACTAAGGTTTTTCCCTGATATAACTACATTACAGGATATTCAACAAAAAAGCTGAAGATGATGTGCAGAGGATAACGTTGAGCCTTATGTAACAAAGGAAAAGGATGTACCTGTATCAGGTCCACTCATAGTCTGCTTTTTTCAGGACTAAAACAGTCCATTTCTTTCAGGGTCTCCCAGTGCAGTATGTTTTGACTCTTTAAATTGTCACCTGCTGAACACTGCGCTGAAGGGAAAACCTAAGAAGTCTGTGACAGATTCCCCTTTGATGGTAGCTGAATGTTAGGGAGTTGCTCACATTAACTCCTGACTTGACTTGACTGGATCTTTTGCGTTGCATGTGGACCTATATCATTGTATTTAACCATTTTAACTCTAATAATTTTAACTGTATGGCTTTCTTGTACTTTATGAAAAAAGTAGTGAAATGAGACCTCAACTCTGCCATTTTGGCTGGTTTGCCAATTCTGTCTTGTTTTTTACTTGCAGGCTGACACAGAAACACTGTATCAGCTCAGGGTCTGACTCTCCTGAGCCGACAAGGACCGTTCACTCCCTGAATACTCACATAGTTAAACCTGGCTTCACACAGGAGGCACCAGTTCCCTGAACAATCATTCTCCCCGGGTATTTAGAGGATATATACATCTCCCTCTGGTATCCTAATATATACTTAGGATACTCCAGATCCAGGTGCCCTGTTACAGAGCTAAAAAAACTAAACAGTTTTAATAAGTAGCCTCTTCAAGGTCCAAGATTTCAATTTTACTTCATTACTGTTTCCTTGTTGTGGTAGTGCTGAAAAAAAAACTTTATTGTAACCTCCAGTACAATATCCATTTCTTTTTTCACATATCCTCTGTTGGTCTTTCTAATATCTTTTTTACCTGTGCTTGTTGCAGGTCATTATACTCTGCTACTTTAAGATAAACTAGCTGCTGCTCCTGCAAAAGCCCCACTCTGACAGCTGCTGAACCTCAGTTAACTGGTCCCAGCTGCTGGAGCACATATGTTCATGTGGAGCTCTGAGACCTTGATCATGTAAACTCCACTGCTGCTTCAGCTGGGCTTCTTGAACCAGATCTTGCTCTAGTACTTTCCCTTTAGTCTTCTTACCTTTAGAAACCCTCATTAAATTGAGTTCAGTGCACACTGGGGTCCAGATGCTCCACTTTGTTGTTGCAACTGGTTCCCCATTTGAATTTCTACCCATCTTTTTCTTCCTCCAACAGCAAAGGCTCATGCTACTTATAAAGCCATGATGAAGCCTGTCCTACACAAGAGTGGTATGCAAAATCCTACAGTACATATGATTTTTTTTCCTCATGACACCAGAGCACCACCTTAGATAATATAGTATAGATTAAAGATTATAGTATAGACATTGTAATAACCTTACAATGTGAGTTAACAATTGTGGCACTACACACGAGGGGTGTGTTTAGTGTGGAAAAAGTACAAAAGGAAAAGGTCTCCTTTGTAATCACAGCTGCACTGATGAAAGATGGGCGGCAGCTGTGTGAACTCTTTAAAGGCACACTGAGCACCTCCCCGAAAAGGATAAGCAGGGTGAGGATCTGTGCACCGGCAGTCCCGGAAGTGATTGTAATCGAGTGTGAGGCTGTTTCTTTTTCTTTTAGCCTGTCCCGTTCTGTCTCTATACTGGGGCAGACATATCATTTTTCCACAATTTAAAATTTTATTTTTGGCCTTGCGCTCCCTTCCTGTTCTCCGAGACTGGACCCTGTTAAACAGGGTAAGTCCAGTCTGGTCCCCGCCGGTCTTTTTCCAGGCTAGACCCCGGTTAGACAGGGCAAGTCCAGCCTAGGCGCCACTCTACATTACGGTGCTGCGCTGCTTCACATAACGGCGCATTTTCTCACTAACCTCACAGAAGGTCTGTAGTCGTTGAGGACAGAGGGGCGCCCTTTCTTTGGTACCGGGACCAGGCATGATGTCTTCCAGAGCACCGGGACTCTCTCCAAGCGCAGGCTCAGGTTGAACAGTCGCTG